TCCATATTGTATCTTAAAATGGGAAGCTAACATCTTCATGTTGCCTGTGGTTTATTTAGGGTGCTTGGGAATTTACTGTCATAATTTAAAGGGATGGAAAATGTAAGAATGGTGCTATTGAATGGTTATTTTTGGAGCATTGGGAAAATTACAGCATGAAAAAGACAGACTTAAATTTCAAAATATCTGGCCCAGGAGCAAAAGAAAAGACAGTACGTAACAGTATGTAGAAATTCCCTTCTGCAGATAGTTGGTGCACTGAGATTGCTGGAAAAAAAATAGCAGAAATTTATTTTCAAGAAGTACATTTTACAACAGGCTTTGGAGCATACATATGTATGGGATGTGTGTGTTCGTCTGCGTCAACAGCAATAACATTTCTAGAAACAATACCAGCCCTTACAGTATTCCATTCACTGTGATATTATGATATTTCTCACTTGTTCTATTCAAAAGTTTCCAGAAACAATACTGTGATATTGTGATTTATAAGGTATTTGGTCTTCATCCACAATTCTTGGATCATAGCACCCTAAATCCTTGGAATTTCCTGTGTTGAGAAAGGATTTATTTCGTTACATTAATGAGGTGATGGAGAGCACCTGAGAAGAGAAGCTCCTTGCTGGAGAACTGGACCGTGTGTTTAAAGGTTTGGAATTTCAATCCCATCCCTCGAACTCTGGAGAGAAGAGAAGGCCTGAAGGTTAAATCAATCCCCAATGACCAGTTATTTAATCAATAATGTCTGTGCATTGAAGCCTCTAAAAAAGCCTGGTGGGGTTCAGAGAGTTTCCTGAGAGCTGAATACCTGGCGCTGCAGGGAAACTCCTGCACTAGGAGGGGGCATGGTACTCCGCCCCTCCCACACACCTTGCCCTACACATCTCTTCACCCGGCTGTTCCTTAGTTATATACCCTTTTACATTAACCAGAGATCTGCTCAGTAATGTGTTTCTCTGCGTTCTGAGGATTTCTCTGAGTTCTGGGAGCTATTCTAGCAAATTACCTGAACTTAAAAAGGGGGTTGTGGGAATCTCTGATGTATAACCAGTTGTTCAGAAGTGCGGTTGACAAACCTTGCAGTTGGTATTCTGAGTTAGAGAGGGTGGTTGGAACCTCCAACCTGGGGCCATTCAGTCAGCTGAAGTGTGTATGTGTGTGTGTGTGTGTGTGTGTGTGTGGGTGATGGTGGTGGTAGTGGTGGTTGAAGTCTTGTAGGACTGAAAGCTTATCTTGTCAAATCCGATACTATCTCTGGGAAGGTTGTGTCAGGATTTAGTTGAATTCTGGAAAACCTGTGGGTGTTTGAGAATTTGAATACTAACCATTGTAATGTTCCAGTCACTGTAATAACTAATATATTTTATTCTATTCTATTATTCTATTCTACTAGAGGCCCGGTGCATGAAATTCATAGAAAGGGGGTGTCCCTCAGCCCAGCCTGCCCCCTCTCCAATCTGGCAGTCAGACATCCCTCTCACAATCCAGGACTGCTGGCTCCCAAATGCTTGCCTGTTCTCTGCCTGATTGCCCCTAACTGCTTCTGCCTGCCAGCCTGATCATCCCCTAACTACTCCACTGCCAGTCTGATCAACCTAACTTCTCCCCTGCTGGCCCAATTGTCCCTAACTGCCCTCCCCCTGCTGGCCTGGTCACCCCCAACTGCCCTCCCCTGCAGGCCTGGGTCCCCCCCAACTTCCCTCCTTTGCTGGCCTTGTCTCCCCAACTGCCCTCCCCTGCCAACCATCTTGTGGCAGCAATCTTGTGTCCACATGGGGGCAGTCATCTTTGACCTCATGGAGACAGCCATCTTGTGTCTTGGAGTGATGGTCAATTTGCATATCACTATGTTATTAAATAGGATTCTATTCTTTTCTAACCTGTCTTATTTTACATTCTATTTTATTTTCCATTCTATTCTATCCAACTTCCCTTTTTTCCTGCCTTTTTGAAACCAAATGAACCTGGATTCTGCTGCCTGCCAACTTGTGGCACAGGTACTCATAAAGGAAAGAGGTTTACTCAAATGCTGGCATATTGAGAAGATAAGAAACATTTCCCAGTCCTCAAAACCCATCTTAAGATCTCAGTTCAGGCAGAGGTTTTTATAAAGAGGAAGAGGGAAAGTAGAACAAAGAGATCAAGGGGGAATGCCAGCAGTATCCTTGCTGGTCCTGATGTGGATTTTCATGGTCAGCATCCTTAAGTTTTATTTATTTATTTTTATCATCAGTGAATTTCTGTGGCATTCAGTGTTAGCCTTGAAGGTCAGCCAGACTGCTCCTTGTGTCCACACAGGAACTGAAACTGTTTGATTATGAAGTATCTATACTAATAAAAGGGTAATATGCTAATTAGACCAGATATCTTCCGGATGACCATCTGGACATCTTTCCTGACAAAGCCAGGCCCAGGAGACACCGCCCACCCTGTGGTCCCAGGCACCTCTGGCTGTGGCCCAGGTGTGCCAGTGGCTGGCCAGAAAGAGGAAAGCCTAGGTCCTGGTGTCTGCAGCCAGCTGGAGGATGTTATCCTGGGTACCAGGTGCAGGGCCGAGGTAGAGGCAGTTAGGGGTGATCATGCCTGCAGGGGAGCAGTTAGGGACAATCAAGCAGGCAGGTAAAGGTGGTTAGGGGTGATCAGACAGGCAGACAGAGGGTTTAGGGGTGATCAGGTAGGCAGGCAAATGAGCAGTTAAGAGCCAGCCGTCCGCATTATGTGAGGCATGTCTGACTGCCAGGATCAGGCCTACACTGGCAATAGGCATTAGGATATCCCCCAAGGAGTCCCTGATTGGAGAGGGTGCAGGCTGGGCTGAGGGTCCTGCCCCTTCCCACTCTGTGCACAAAGTTTATTCATGGGGCTTCTAGTATTAAAAATAAAAACTTTTAACATGTAAGCTCTAGTTTTAAGAGAAAAAATCAGGTTATAGTAACAAGCTGGTTTACTAAAATTAATTTGGGTAGCTTTAGATAGTGTATTCATTTCCTAGTACATTTATACTTCTATTTATACCATATAACAGCATACTACTGTCCATAGTTGGCTGGAATATGGGTAGATATGTGACTGTAAACATATCAATCTGTAGGCCAAATTGTGCTATTCAGATGCTTGGATTGTTCAAAATCTTTTAGGATTCTGGTAGATTTGTATCTTAGAACAAATTGATTTCTGGAGTCAATTTGAAATTTCTGTATACAAACATACATGATGGATATGCTGATATTGCCATTGCTGACATTTAAAGCTCAATTCATCTACATATGTAATGCTATCTTGTAGCCTATATTATTATTTGTTGATAGTAATTTAGGTTTTATTTATAGTAAAATTCATACAGTTTTATTTTCTTTTAGGGCTTCATCACTTTTTCAGAGTTTAAAGCTAATAAAGTGATATTTTCTCAGAATCAGATTCTATTTTTGCTGCCTAAGTAATCAGTAGTTTATATTGAGGAACCAGAAGGTGAAAAATTCTCTTTATTCAGATTATCTTAGATATGTTATCTTATTTCACATCTTTTGGTTTTATAGAGAGACCTTGTATTTTCAACTGAAGCACTTTTGCCTTGGAGTCTGATATCCTGACATGCCAGGTTGTGACAGGATAGTAATAAGCTAGGAAAATTCCTGGGCAGGTGTAATAAATAAACCAAGGCAAGAAAATTAAACAAGGTCAAACAGTTTGGGTAGCTTGAAGACAGTTTGTGAATCACAAAAGTTTATCTTCCTCAACCTAGGACACTTGAGAACAAATAGTTAATACCTCTCCTCCTGACCAGAGAATACAGGAAAGGGGCAGGGGGAAAGACAGGAGAATTTTGTCTCTCTCAGAGATCTTGGGACTCACCAAGAGAAAAATGCCAGATGTTCTGATAAATTCTGTGAAAAGCCACAAGGTAAAAAGGGGCCCCAACCAAAGGAATTGTATGCATGCATATGAGCATAACCAATGGACACAGACTGGGATGGGTGCGGGGAGGGGAGAGGACATGTGGCAGGGATAGAGATGTCAATGGGGGAAAAAGGAGACTTAGGTAATACTTAAAACAATAAATAATTTAAAAAAATAATCTTGAAATCTAGTTTGCTACTCAAGATATATGGCAAGAAAGCTTTGGAACCTGTAGGAAGAAAGGTATAAAACCCCTTGAATCTCAACTGGGCATATGCTCTGACTAGCTGGGTGCCCGCTTGTGCTATATGCCAAGTATAATTTTAATATATTTGCTTACCTTACTTCCTTAATAAATTTTCTTGCTTTGCTGCAATACTGCTGTCACTTGTCTGAAATCTTTCTTATGAGATTGACAAGAGCCAAGGAAGGAACAGCCACCCCCACCTCTGCACCTCAGAGGGCTGTCAGCTAACAAGGTGGTTTATTCATGAAAATGATTCTTAGCCTGTTCTTTTTTTCTTCATAGAGCATGAATTTAGGAGTACTCCACGATCCTAAAATATATTAATAATTGGAAAAGTTACTTATTTTGAGAATAGAATAATAAGCATAAGTAACAAAAACATTTCAAAAGTCATCTATCTCAATATATTCAACTTAAGGTTAACTTTATAGTTTCTAAAGTCATAGAAAGGTATCATTTTGGCTTGAATCCAAATATTTAGAGACACCACAAAGAATCCCATTATGAATCTTTCACTCAATTTGTTGTTTTGAAAGGGCAGAGAACAGAAATTTATTCTTCTTTGTGAGAAGAACAGATAAGACTTTTACTGGCTAAGTGGCTTTTGAAAGAGAATTTTGGATAATTTTTGCCTGTGAGTTTTACAGTGAACACATTTTCGGTATTTGAATTCCTCAAATGCACTTTCATTTCTACTCATTTAAAAATAAACAAGAGTTGAGCAAGTATACTAATTAGTTAGTTTGGAGGTTGTCTTTATACATCTATATTTCTATAGAAGTATTAGATTTTTATTTATTTTTTTTGTAGGGAGAGGTGATATAACTTTGTTGAAGACTTTTTAATGTACTATTTAAAAAAAATGGAACACTTCACAAATTTGCATGTCAACCTTGCGCGGGGGCCATGTTAATCTTCTCTGTATCATTTCAATTTCAGTATATGTGCTGCCGAAGCAAGCACTAATGTACTATTTTTGATTCTTTCTTCTCAAAGATTTTTCTCTATCCCCCAATACTTCCCATTCTGTAAGATTAAGAATAGAGTAAATTTGCCAATAAACCCCAGTAAAACTTTTATTCTATGGGTGAGAGAGGATTATGCATGATCGTATGCTTTTTTTTTTTTTTTCCTTTTAAGTCAAAAGGAGAATTTTGTTTTCAGGTGATCTAGAGCTATTATCTCAAACTTTTCTAACAAAATTTTTTTCTATCTCATGAGAAAGCATACTTTTAACTAGGAAAATTCAGGCTATGCATTCTGTGTAATGAGCGTATGGGTAATTTTTCCTTTTTAAACTTTCTGCATCATGTTATTTTAAAAATAATTCTTAAATTTAAAAAAGCCTAATATTTTAGATTTTCTTCTCATTATGTAGGCAAGTTCTCCTTATCCCATATTCATTTTTTATAAATTTGACCTTTTTATATGAAACTAAAACAGGGATACAGAAAGCCACAAAAAATAAACAAAAAGCTAAAGAAAGTATTATAAAGTAAACAATCTTGTAACCACAATCCACAGGATAAAATAGAACTTCGATAGTAAAAAGCATTAGAACTACCACCTTAAATTCCCCTTTTCTACCATATGCCCATATCAATCTCAGACTTTTGCTTCATAGCATAATTATCCACCATTTTGACATTAAAATAATTACTTCCTTGAATTTCTTTCGTGTTATCACTTAAATGTAAATTTTTAACTTAACATTACCAGTTAAGTCTCTTGGATTTTCTCCATTCTCTGTAATATCATTATATTTTAAGTGAATTTCTTATAGACAACACATCATTGGGTCATGGTTGTTTGTTTTATTGTTGTTTGTTATTTTTTTATTACCTCTGCCAATATCTGTCTTTTAGTGATTTATTTAAAGCATTTGTTAGGGCTTAAGTCAGTCATCCCCCCCCCCCCCCCCCCCGCTTTTTCCTTTGTTTTTGTTTCTATATTATCTTTTCCCTGTCTTCCTATTGGTTAAACATTATTTTAATTCCATTTTGATTTATCTATAATGTTTTTTAGTGTATCTCTTTGTAATGATCTTTCAGTGTTTGGTTTATACATTATACATGTACTATACTAGTAACATCATAATCTACTGATTTCATGCTGTTTTTATACAATGTGAATGTGGGATCATGTGAAAAACTGTGAGCTTTAGAGCTACTTGGTCTAATGCTAATTCAAGTAAAATAAGATTTTTTTTTGATGCTGCAATGAAACAATGCAGTAATACTAATAAAACTTTATGGTTAATCATATAATAGTTTGTACAATTTATTCTTATGGCAGTTCTGCTATAAAAGTGAATAGTGAGACTACTTGTTTTGATATGAAAAATGAATAATTAAATCCTGAAATGAGAAAAATAATAGAAATATAGAGTAGTACAGGGTACGCTTACTATTAAATAAAACTGGATTTTAAAAAAATCATTGTTTCAGGTGGTAAAAAATCAATGATAAGTTAATAAGAACAGGCTAGGTTTATACTCCTTCATAAAGCTAATACTGTTGGACAGAAAAACAAAAATAATTACTTATTTGGCCTTTAGAAAATTTATGTTTATTTGAAGTCCTTGGCTAATACATATACTTTTTAAATCATACAAAATGAAGTTGAACAAAATTTCTGAATGTTGTGGGGTCAAACCCTGGGTTCAAAATAAGACCACCGGAAGCTGATGATTAATTAAAAAAAGCAGGCAAAGCTTTATTGAAATATCTGGCCAGGGCAGCCACAAGAGCACCACACGCAGGCGGACTCTACACAACTGCACTGCTTCAGGGGCAGGTAGTTCTTTTTAAAGGTTCTGAGAAGGAAAACCCCTATTTTGCAACAACTGATGTTTGGAATTTTCCACTGTTCTTCCTAGATACAATGTTGCTTTCTAGTTTGCTTTAGCCGGTTTGAAGATAAACTTAGCTGTCTGACCTTGTAGGCCAGAGACCAGATATGCCCACAATCTCAATACCATGCCAGGTGCACTTTTTCAATTGGATAGAACTGTATTGTTTTCAAGGCCAGCATCGAGATAACCACTAACTGCACATAGGGCTGGCTCTTTAATAATAAAAAAAAAAAAGAAGTTCTGCATGTAATCTTACTTAGAATTTAGAATTTGAATTCATCCTCCCTAAGCCAATAAGATCCAAACAGCAGTTTTTACCAAATATGGTTGCCACTATATTTCACTGAAATAGAACCATTAGAAAAGTTAATGAACACCTGATATTTTTGCAGCCATTTGGTTTTAAAATTTGGTGTAATTATTTGCTACTGATTTTACAGGAGTTTTTCCAAATCTTATCAAATCCAAGTTTGGACTGTGTCTTACGTATTATTATAAAATTAAATTATGGTTCATGAATGAGTTAAGTTTCGAGTATTTGGAATTGAATTAAAGCATATTGCAAGAAAAATGGTTAAAAAAAGAATAAAATGAGTCAGAAAGATTACTTCATATTTAACAAATTGGAGATGAGTTCAATTGCCTCTTAGAATTGAGGAAAATTGAAAATGGGCATCAAATTTCCACTGGACTAGAAACAGTGCCTTAAATCTGTTTCCTTATCTTGCAGACCAGAATAGCTCTTAGCTCTCTTCTGAGCCTTCACTCTTGTAATTGTCTTCTGCCTGAGGGCACTCTGACTTGGAAATGCAATGTATTTAATGTTGACTGGTTCTGCCAAGGGTCCATTAAGGTGCTCCTTTTGAATCTTAAATCCTTTATGTCTAGTGAGGTCTACTGGATTGACTTTTCCTGACATCATATTCTCCACATTTTACCTTAGTACACTCAGGTATTGACTGATAGGCCTATGGTACACTTTCAATTTTCTTCTGAGGGACAAAAAAGATAGGGTATGAAATGTTTATTTTATTTTTGTTTTTTATTTAGAGTGTTGCTATTGTTTAACTTCTCTTCTGAATTGAAATTGAGAATATATTTATGTCCATAGCTTTTGTCTTGAGGTGCCTTATTGCTATATAAACATGACACAGGTCAAGTGGCAAGAGTGGTAACAAGCCTGATTCTTGTAGACCCTGGAGGGGTGTCCAGCTGAAGCATCAAGATCATGAGTGCAGTCCCTGTGGCTTCATTATGATTCAGTCTATGTTACTCTCAGAAATATATTCATCGATATTTATTCCTTGCTAAGTTTTAGGAAAGCCCAATTTTTATATGCTGTTTAATTGTCTGTTTCCAAAGTTAAGTTCATTTGTTTTTCTCACTTTAAGACTTATAATTGATTTTCTTTTCTTACTTGAAATATCTTTCAGCTAAGATAAATGAGGCAAAAGAACGGCACTCAATGTGCCTTCTCTTCTTGTTGGCTTGATAAAAGCTCTTTCTTTGTTTTTGGAATAGAATGTTCAACATCTAGTCTGGCGGGAAGTCATTCTTTGCAATGTGTTCTCTGCAGGAAGCATTGATCTTTTTTGACAGTGGTCTAGGGGCCATAATTCCTGGTTGTGGCTGACAAAGCTCCCTATGTAAATGTTCTTTCTCCACCTGAGTCTGCATCATCACAGATCTGCAGCTGGGAAGCTATCTCTGGAAACTATCTTTGTAGCTCTCCTTCCCTATTCACAGTTCACATCATTTGTTTGACTCTCTAACTCTCTGATGGTGGGGAAGTTTTTAAATTTAGGAATTGGAAGTACTGGGAACAAAATTGATATAACATATCAACTGACCCATACTTTCTATTGTTTAAACTCATCATATTAGCTGATTGTACAAGCACTAATAGTATTGAACTACAAATAACTAAAATGAAGTTTCAAGGTGGACTAATTAATGTCATTATAGTGGACATGTTTTAAAGTTTGACTCCAATACCAGCTATTAGCTAGAGGACAAAAATGAGGATTATGAATTTTGAAATGACTTAACCAGGAAATATCATTACTCTACACTGGTACTTTTACAATTCTAAATTAATCAAGGTGTCATAATAACTTGAAAATGTTAGCTTTATATTTTGAAAACCAGTCAATGCTCTATAAAAATATACTTTAGTGTTTATAGGGGAAGCATTTTTCTTTCAATTTATAACACAAACCCCTTATATTTGCAGTTAAATACTCTTTATCGGTCTATAGGCCTTGATAAAAATGTATTAAGGCAATTTATTTCTTATAAATTAAGACATTAGGAGATTTTAAAAGCTACTATATTTTATATCTTTCATTCCTGCTCATGCTCAGAAATAAACATTAGATGCAATATTTGCTGTGAAGATAATTCCATGGTATTGCTCATGTTATATGGTGTTAAATATGCTTCATTTGTTCTGCTAAATCTTCTTTTCTCCATTCTGCATCCTGCTTTGTGCTCTTTTCCTCACATTTCCCTTTACTTGACTAATGACAAGTATTGGAAGGAGCAAAAGAGAGAGGGGGCATTTTTCCTCTCCTTTCTGGGTCATAGATTGGTGGTGATTGCTCTCCTCTGTTTAAGGCCACAGTTCCTGACAGGTGGCTCTCTCCCATAGCTACAGCTTTTTTCTGGATTGTGGAAACTTTACCTTCCTTTGCCTTTTCAGACCTAGAGGGACTTATAACCTCCTCCTCTTCTTTTCCAAACAAGGTGCTTCTCCATGCCTTGATCGTTTTTCTTAACTCTTGCTAAATTTTTGTAAATAGTTTTATATTATTTTACTAGGGTTGCCATACTGATTAACATGGAGTTGGTAGCTTAAACCAACAGAATTTCTCTCAGTTTTGAAGGCCAGAGGTCCAAAATGAAGGTGTCAACAGGTTTGGTTTTGTATGGAGAATATGTCTTTCTCTGGTGGCTTTCTGAAATTCTTGGTATTCTTTGGTTTGTGGAAGATCAATCTCTACCTTGATCTTCTCATGTGTCTCTTTGTCTTTCTTTTCTGTTGAAGGTACCTGTCTTTGAATTTTAAGTCAACCTTAACCTAGTATGTTCTCATCTTGAGATATTGCCT